CGTACACTGTATAGTTGATCGGAAATTAAGGGCTCGTAAAAGTCCGATGGGTAAAGAGAAGAAATTTTGACACAGCCAAAATATAGGTTATCGTTGTTGTGAGCTGCTCCGTCCAGTTGAGCCATTAATCGGTTGTTTCCGATTGGTTGGTTAATAAATTTGGTAGGTAGGATTCATTCAGAATAAAGGATACACATAGTAGTTATAGTAATAGAAATTTATTTGAGCCGTAATGAATTATGCTAATAAATTACACTTAAGATTTATTATAATATTAACGGTTTACCGTTAGAACGTACAACTATACTGTTGTGTGTTTCTCGACAACGTAGCACAATACATCGTTGGGCGACAGCGATCAAGAATCGCTGCGCCAGTAAAACCTCAATCAGGGGTTCACAACATCGTTAAAAACAAATCCTTTCTTTCTCCTTAAATTCAATAACGAAGAGTCGTTATTACACAAAAAGTCCAACTCATATTGTTTATTTATTACCATTTGGTTTTTTCCAAAAGTATTTTTTATTATTAATTATATTTACTGGATGAAACGATAAATCTTTGTAAACAAAATCGACTCTGAGCATAACTCGATTAAGCACCTAACCGATATTTTTCGGATTAAATTAAATAATTACCCCCCTTCCCCTGCCCACAAAAAAAAATCAATGAAAATCAATGCATTTGAAAACAAAATTCATTAAGATCAAAATTAAAATTACCATAAAACGATCTTTTCAAAAATAAATTTTGAAAATGTTCAATCAATTACAATAATTTTACATTATATTATATCAATAATTATCTACCTATAAAGAAGATTCCAAAATATTATTCTGATATATAAAAAATAATACGAAAAAATTAAAAAAAATTGATGTGCCTGCCATAATCTAAAGATGTTTGATAACATTGTAAATTATTTTGGAACATCTGTTTTCAATTTAATGTGTATTCAATGCACACCCATTTTTATTTTACTCTGACGTCAATCTATGTAAAATCATATATTGTTATTACTGATTAATATCACACCTGTGCTGTTTAATATTTATGCACACCACGATTTTAAAACTACTCATTAGTATTAGGAGCGTATCAAATCAAATCAAACGAAAAATAATGTAAATACTACATCTATAAAGGAACTATTGAATTTGACAGTTTTTAAATTTTAAAAATGTCACCTCTGCTAATGTTATAACTTTCGATTTTAAATCACAGTGATATTTTCGTTAAATAATCAATTGGGTTTATTAGTTTTTTTAATATTTTAGATTCTATACGAGGAATATATTAATTTTATTATGATGTGTTGATTTTTATTTTGTTTTAAACAACTTTTCTACTAAAATTCTTGCACCAATCAAAAATTTTTTAGGAATTTTCTTGTACCATTTTTAACCCAGTTGGAGCATTGAAGAAGCCATTTTATTAAATTTTCCTTGTATTTTTAGCAAACGAAAACTGGCAATTTTTTGTATAATGTGTGTTGATTTCAGGACTACCTACCAATAAACGAAAAAATATGACCTATTAGTAATAACTTATTACTAATAACAATAAAACTCTGCTCAAACAAGGTTTTCATTTCCTAGTAATAGTTTATCTTTGTGTATAAATTAAATTACTTATATATTTTCCCTTTCAATTTCAATCCTAAACAGCGGCACACCCATCAGCAGTTCAGTCTTTTTTTGAGAGGAAAGATACGTCGGCAAACAATTTCTGAACTATTTAAGAGTGATTTCTACAGGTAGTACATTTTTAAATTTCTAGATAATAAACAGAGGAGAACCTATTTAGTTTTTTTTAATCATTAGAAAATTAGAGAAATATATTATTTATATTAGTTCTTTCCGGATATTGTAAAATGTTAAAAAAATAATAATGGCAGTTCTAAAGCTATAATTATAATCATTTAAAATGTTCTAGTTTTTTAGTTTTACCTGGTTATATGGAAATAAAATTATTACCTACCAAAAAATATGGTCAAAAACAAAAGGTTTATTATAGGAAATACTCAGGGGTCAAAAAAAAAAAATAATCGTGCATTTAAAATATAGCAATTTTAAAAATTAGCCAAAAAACAAGTTTCATCAACCGAAAAATTCAAATCTTTAAAACATGAAATAAAAAATTTATTAGAGCTAATACTAATTAATTACTAATTTTAATATACATTAATTTAACTTACAAACATTACAGGTTACATTAAATTACCTACAACAGTGGCTGCACCCATCCTCATTATCCTTGGACGTATTTTTTTTTTAAATATTTAATTAATTAAATGACCAAACAATAATGAAATAGAAATGCTTTAAGTAGAAAGTACCTACCTACGTACACCTTTTTTCACGCACTTTAAAATATATCATTCTTTTAAGTTAACAGTAAAAATAAACCTAATAATAAACAATATTGTAATAAGTACAGAACAAAAATCTCAGAATAAAACGAACAATAATAACTTATATACTACTCATTTTTACAGCAAATATTCAATAATGAATTTAATATAATATTATAGTAGGTACTTAGGTGACTCAACGTCTATTGTAAGAATGATTTCAAAATTGTACGACATCTATAAAGTGCTAATATAAGTATTTAGTAAAATTGTGCCCCAACGCTAGTTTTTAATGATGATTGCAAGAATTTACAATTTAAATTGATTTAAAATGATTTTTTTGGCCAACAAATTTTAACGATATAAAACCAAATTACACAACTCGAAAATATTAAATGATAGCTGAAAAATCGCCAACATGATTTAAAAATTTAACTACGTCTTTTAACTACGTAAAAAAAATAAAAAATAATGAAACTTTTACTGCTGTAAACTTTCCAGTTTTTCCTACTTTTTTCCACCCTTCTTCCAACTATTATAAAAACCTATTTAAAAATCAAAAATCTACATCCCTTATAATTATATCATTACACTCAGAATCTTAAAGAACAATTCTAGAAATTATGATTAATTTTATATCCTTAAAAAATATCCCCTAACAAAAAGAAAACAGATATCCTATACATTCTCCAATAAACATAATATGGACCTCGTTTCCGTTGTATGTCTCGCACGTAATACATCAACAATGACATTCCACACTTCTTATAACTGCAATGGTTTAACATTACTTCCAGACTTCTACAGCATATAATAAATTAAATTGTCTAATATCCTTGACCTTCGCGGTGTTTCACCTACGACAGTGATCTACCCATTGTGCGAAGAATTACGTCTACTATTTTTCTGTTTCGTTTTACAGAATCCCCTTGGATTAAATATTAATATAAATAAAGGTTTACATTTGGTACATATTACAATATACTCATGTTAATGAATGTAGTCCGTAAATAATAAATAAATAAAAAGTAAATACGAGCGTGCATTTATTATTTACTGCTTTTGAGAAGGAGGGAGCGTAAAAGAACGCGCAAGAGGTATGTCAGCATATACGGTTATGGCTGCCGAGTAAAACAGAAAAGTGTATTTACACGCCTATAACATAACTTCGTTCCGGGCGGTTTCTCTAACCTATTAATTAGAAAGTCGTGTTCCCGACGCACGTACGGCACGCGCACGATAAAGGCCGATAGACGAAAGAACAGTAATGTTTTCAAACATGACCGAGCGCGGTACAAGGTGGTCATATTGTGGCAGTGTGCTTCCATAATAAGGTACAATGCTACGGTTGCAATTAAACGATATAAAACGGCGACAACGACGGTTCAACGGTCCCGGCTCCGAGGTTTCGTCTTTGAAAATAATATTATTATGTCCGGCCGAGCTCTTAGCCCTACGCCCGGGTATTACTCCACTGTAATAGTAATTATACAGTATTTGTAACCGAGCCAAATGTACTTGTAAAATAATGGTCTCTCTGCCGTGCTGATTTTATTATACGGTATAATGTCATTTAAAATAACATAATATTATGGTATGCCAATATAGGTAATATTGTAATACGACTTCATATTATGTCCGAAAACCTTTATCTACCAAACACTAACATAATTACTCGATGATTTTTACTTCAAAAATACCAAAACAGTTCGAAAAAATAATAACAATATACACTTTCGGTTATTTTCAAACCCGGCGTCATTTAAAATCAAGAATATCATATAAATATAGGGGGATTTGAAATTTGATCTGTATTTTATTTTGATTTCACTTAAATTAATAAATTATCATTTTAAGATTTTCGGTAAAACTAAAAAAATATTTAAAACAATTTCCGTCAACGATTTTTAGCTAATTGGTAATGAAAACAAAATAGATAAATAAAATATTATCAATCTATAAATGTGACAATATTATGTTATTAAATAATATTCTATGTCACGGACCAGTGGAAACCGGACCAGTAGAAAAGTACAAAAAAAGAAAAGAAAATAGTGAAATTTCTGACTTCAAACTGCTTTCACTGCGGGCTATAAACAAGAAAAATAAATATATTATAACAAAACGTTTAGCTTTACCGTAATATTTTATACAAAATGTCTCCACTTAAACGATAATAATATTATATTTCAATATATTATAATACATCTCTTAAAAAATCAAGAACAACAACAACAAAAATTAGGTATACACTCTGCAATTCTACCGCTTGCATTTCTTGTCGCCGTCGTCGTCGAAAAAACCGGATCGCAAAACCGGAAGTGTGGACACCGGTGAAATTGCGACCCGACGCACATGCTCGTCTTTCTTATCACCTGTTGCCACAGCTGTCTCGGCACACCGTTAGAAAAAAAAAATTATTAATAATAATATTATTATCCGTCTATATAACTACTCCGTCACGCCAACGCCGCCAAAACGTCCAATGCCAAGGTAAGCATATACCTACACTCATCCGGCAACCACCGAAGAAAGTATGCCATTCGGGAGGAGGGGGGAATGGAAAAAAAAGGGAGAAACGAAATAACGTTAATAATATTGGCAAAAAAATAAAAATAAAAAATTTACATTGCCATCGTTCGACGGTGGGCGACCGTGGCGGTTACCACGAACACAGTCTCAGTGTTACCTTGGTCTGACCACGGTGCAGGTTGCGCACATCGTTCGACACCACACTCGTGTAAATAATTTTATTATATTCGTACCGTCGCGTTTATCGTACCCGTTTCCGCCGGGCTGCCTTTAAAAAAAACTTTGAAGTATCACGTGTAAAACAGGTATGTTCTTTTTTCATTCGAAAATATTCGCGATACTCCCCGATACGAATGGTATTCGTATCATAGTTACATTTTAATACTCAAAAAAGAGATAATTAATAATAACAATAAACGACTTTTTATTTTGTTCTCTCGTTTCGTTAAAATCAAACACCATAATATCCAGTTATCGGGCGGATTCACTTATAGATTCGTACAATATATAGATTCATTTTCTATCAGAAATGTTGTTTCGATCGTCAGCTTTAGGAGTGATATTTTTGGTAGTAAATTTTGCCTTCAGTTAATATATTAAGGTGATAATTTTTTCTTTTTTGATTTCCTTAATATTTGAGAAAAAAGAAAAAACTATAAGAATTTTTTTTTTTTTTGCAATTTGGTTAGAAATAATAATAGAGATCTAATATTTTTTGTTATAAATAATTTTAAATTTGTATAGTTTTTGTAATTTGGTTTTATATATTATTTTATGTTGTCTTGATTGGTATACCACATAATACGGATGATAAGAGCTAATTTATTAAAGTCGTAATTTGGAGTAAAGAACGAGATGAGGGATGACGTATACCTACGATGTCAAAAAAAATATTATCACTAACTTTTTTCAATTTTCACTTTCTATAATGTAATACCTCAAACCGCAAAAAATAAAATTATATTAACCAAAACTGCTTTTCCTTTTCTTTTGTGTATGTGTACAAATTGAAATAAAATAACACCTAGCAATACACGCAAAAATAAAAAGAGCCGGTACTGGTGTCGGGTACGGCCACTGTTGTAGGTTAGAAGTGAGGAAGGTAGGATATATAAGATTATTTCATTTATATCTGTAAGCAACTTAAATACACTTATAGTATTTAAATAATTTGAAGTGTCATAATTTGTTTTAATCTTACCTTCCTACGTTTTTCCCCGATTATTATGAAAACTAATTCGAAAATCAAAGAACGACCTGCATTATTAGAAAACAAGATTAATAATTCAACAAAAAAGATTTCTTATTGTTTTTCAATTGGAGCCATATTTGTGCTAAAAAAAAGTAGTAGACACTTATTTAAAATAATGAAATCGTAAAAAAAAGGTTTTTTTCTTTTCGGTTAATCGTTTTTACTTTAAATACCGTTTAGAAAATCAAAAAATGACCCATATATTTAACAATTAGATAAAATTGACTTTCAGAAAAAATGCTACACTTATATACACCTCTATACATCAGAGCAAGTTTTCTAGGATAAAAGTGGTCTACAGTAAAAAAATAAAAAATTAAGTACCATTGTAAGAAATATTTAAAAAAGGAAAAAAAGTCGTCCAATGATTTTGGAAATTTCACCACGTCTAAGTGAGTCCAATATCAGTATTATTACCAAGTTTCAAAACTCTACGTATATTTATAACTGAATTACAGCAAAAAACTTTCAAAAATTTAAATTCCTTTAAAGCTCAAAAGTGACTCAAAAGTTTTGGCGATGATACCGTAAGAAATTAAATCAAAAATAAAACAAAAAAGATATTTTGTGTTTTTCGATTTGATCATTTTTTCCGGTAGAAAACGACGTCCGTGTTTTTATAAAATAATGAAATCGTGAAATTGTACGTTTTTTCTTTCTTAAATGCTTTTATTTAAAAAAATGGCGTCGAAAATTACTACTCGTAAAAATCAGAGCAAGTTTACTAGGAAAAACCGTGTCCACAGACTAGAACAAAGAAAAAAAATAAACAACATTGTAAAATCAATAGTTCCCTTGCTATGCTCGGAATCTAAAAATTAGAAATCATTTTATACTATAAGCTACATCTACAGTTGTTAGACGATGGTCATAAATTATTATAACTTTCGAATTCAATTTACTAGAAAAATCGGTAAAAGGATTTCAGATTAAACTTAGAAAACATTGCAATTAAAACATTTTATAGATCAAAATAAATACATTTTTTTTTTAATTTAAAAATAATTACATGTCAAATCTACTTAATAATTTTTATCAAAAAAAACAATAAGTTAATAAGTTAAATTTTTTAAAATATTACTATTTAGAATTATTTTAATTTAAAAAAATGATTATTATAAATTATTAAATGAAAAATATTGAATGCCTGGAATTATGTTTGATTATTTACAAAACAATAAATAATACAAATAAATAAAATTAAGAATTATGTTATTTTTCTTAAATAAAACTTGTGTAATAAGGAATTTTGTATTCGAAAATAATAAAATTAACCACTTTATACTATGTCCTTATCTCCTTGCAAAAAAAAAATTGATCATTCATGAACAAATCATAATTTATCCGATTAAATATTATTACTGAAATAAAGTACCTGTTGTTTATTGAACAAAAAAATAAATAAAATAGTTTTCATGCAACGATTAAAATTTGAATTTATGATTAAATCCCTTGGAGAAAATAGCACCATAAAACATAGGCCAAAACACTTCTGTAATTAAAAAAAAAAAAAAAACATTTAAAAAAAAGTTTCATCGTCATTATAACGTTTTTAAGTTAAATTGTTCCGAACTGGTATAAGGAAAAAATATGTTATGTATTAGATTTCTAAAAGATATTTTGTGAAACGTATAGATAATTATTAAGTATATGTTATATGTGTTGCATTCATATAATAAGGTTACAAAGTTACATTTAAACAAAAAATAAAAATACTCCCCTTAAAAAAATCCTGGCTACACCAATGTCTTAAGTAAAACATTTTGTTTTATATAATTTTTTCCCTTTCAATTAGATTTTCAATCTAAATTGTGTAAGTGTATAAACACTTACATGCTGTACATTAGTTTGTACACAAGTGTATGTATTTTCAAAATGTAATTTACTTGTATTGAAAACTATACACAATTGACTTAAGTTCTTCTTCCTTGTGACCAAAGATAAACAGCAATGATAAATATGATGACTTGAAATTCAAATGCAGTTCTAACTACATTTTTTTTTTTTATTATTAACATTGCGAGACAGTGGCACACACAAAGCGGTGGGGAGAGGGTATAGGGGGTCTTCAAAACTTCCGAAATGTCTTCCTTCACTTCATTTTTTAAATCAAATTTTGCATTCAACAACATAATATCGTACATCACAAAATGTAATTTCATCAAAAATAATTTATTCAGTAATAATAGTAATAGTAGGTACTAGGTACTGTACTGATAATAAGTACTATCCTTTCTTGAAAATTATTATAAACAAAACCCCTCCCGAAAAAAAATCCTGCGTGCGCTACTGTCGCGGAAATGTTTTTGAACATTTGTTACTTTGAAACGTCTTTCGCTATAGGAAACGGCAGTTGTATATCTTGTATGCATGATGGCTGTGAAAATAAGAATGCTTATGAAAGGACAGCAATGCAGGAAAATAAAATCGCTGTAAATTATATTTTTACCTACCTAACGTAAAAGAAACAAAAACACCAATATTAGTGCATCTCTCGAGTTAACCTTCGTATATTATATTGCACATCGATAACATTCCTCGGTTTACTCAAAATCCATTACAATTTAAAAAAATATATAAACGAACTATAACATTTTTATGACCATTTACAATTATATCTGATATAACTAATTTATCACTAAAAAAATACATTTATTATACCTTGTATGTCGAAATAATACCTATAGGTATACTATATAATATAATAGGTGTATAATGTTTTAACTTTTAACCGTTTCGCTGTTTCACACAATATTTTACTCGGCTTTTGCCTGCATCATTAATCCACCAGTATGGGTAACAATACAATTCTAGTAAATAATTATTATAATATAGTAATGCAGTCATATTGTAAATATACTAACGAACAAGATATTTGTATTCTCTTTTTTAGATAAAATATATGTATTTATTGAACTTATTGAATTCTCTCCTACCTTCCACCTTAAACTTTTGCTTATATTATACGCTTATGAATATTCATTCATTGGTCAATTAATTTTTTTTTTTTGCAAATCCTCTAATACGTAGATAATTTAAATTTAAATCAGTTTATATGTGTTAAACGGTTTTTTTTTCTGTATCTAAGGGTTTAAAATCGTTTTAATGTAATTTTGTATAAACATTGAAACGGGCCACCGATTTTCTCAAATTTCTTGTACATGTAAAATTTAAATTTAAAAAAAAACCAGACGTACATATAGTATTAAATTGTTAGTAAAAATGTACTATGAAATAAAAAAATATGTTTAGCTATATATTTCTATACGTTATATTTGGTTTTCTTGTATATTCGGTAATATTTTTTGTTTTTATTACGTATTTCACACAGATTATTGATGATAAAAATACGATATTTTCAAAATGTCTGCCAAAGCTGTAAAATATAGGTGCTAAACATCAAAAATCTTCTGCCAACTTTATATCGTATAAAAAAACATACGCATATCTAAAATAACATTTATATTTATGTTTATTCTTAACAAAATAATATATGACGTACGAGTACATAATCAAAGTATCGTTTCAAAGGGTATTTCTTATTGCATATCTATATTTAATCTTATTTAACGTATTAAAAAGAAAATTTAAATGCTACGAAAATTCAAAATATTACCAATTACGCAATACGTATTCTAAGTATTATTTTAATATGATATAATAAATTTATTTTAAAATATTTACGTTATTTTTTTTTTTTTTTTGAAAACTGCAAATAAATATTAATAAAATATTGGGAAATTTTAAACACGCCCAGTATGGATAGGTACTATTAATTTACAGCGATACAAAGATAGTTTTATTCAACCACATGCCCCAACATTTTTTCTTACGTTTTTCTTTTAAGTTATTACTCATATTTCTTTATTCAGTTTATCTATTAAAATACAAATATAAATTCCAATATCATATTATGTTATTCAGAATATAAAAATACAATATTTTATATTTTACATTATATCTTGTATCTTTTTATATTTCACGGAACTCATAAAAAGACGCCTTCAACACGTATTATTTCTTTTTTATCGGTGATATAGAATAAGCCTCCAATTTATTTTATACATTTTTCAGAAAAAAACAGGATGACAAGAAAACTTTTTCCTTTACGGTGATTTATTAGGGGAGTGGCAGGAAATTTCGGAGGAGGCTCTATCCCCCTTAGTCCCTCCCCATTATGTAGTATTATGTATTATTATTTTTTGGGGCATTTGCAGATTTTCTTTCGTTCTTCAGTAATTTTAATTTTTTGGAATTTTTTTGTCAATTTTTCTTATAATGTAGAAAACCTAAAAGAAAAAACCTCAGAAGATCTAGTATATTTGCGCAATTTCGTCGATTTTTATCAAAATAGATTTTGTTTTTCTGGATTAAATAATCAGTCTTCAGATATTTTCTAGACGTGATATATTATTTTCAAAATAATTTTGGAAATTGTTTAGGTGTCTATTAGAAATAATTGTAGTTTGTTCTAATGTTCAAAAAATTTGTTTGACAATGCATTTTAATTATTCAAGTAGTTTTTACGAGTCTTTTCACTTTAAGTAATTCTTACACAAGTACAAATTTCAAGCGCAGACAAAATTCGTAGAATTTACAAATAATCATAAACTATTTTGTAGTTAAAATTTGCATATGACAATTTTTAAAAGTGCTTCATTCATAATTGTTTATTATATTTAATTAAGAACAATTTTTGGAATTTGTTTCTTTTAATTATTGGTCTAAATGACATTAATATAAGTTATATTTTTGTGTATGCACAGTTGTATATATTTTATTGTCTCACTTTAATCTGTCTGTAAAATAACTCCCGAGTTTAATTCCCGAGTTTGAACTAATTTGGTGCAAAGGAAGCCGCTTGAAATGTCCAAAAGTAGCGGGAAAAAGATATACACGTATCTATTACGAGTATATTATTATAACACGACACAATATTGTATGCTAGTCTCTATTTTCGGAGAAAATTCGACAACAATGATGATAACTTCAAAGCCTATTATTAAATAAAATTGATCATAGAAAAAATTATAGAAATAAAATGAGTGATTTTTCATTAAAAAAAAAAAATGTACCGTCAACTTTAATACGTGAACCATAATGTATTGTGCCTATGCTGTAGGTAATTGTAATATATCTAGATGTTAATGACAGGTACGATAATCAGGTCATTGCGTTCGCTCGGGAGATATGTGTTATCATCAGTATGAACACAATAATTCTAGTCGGTTCCGTTTCGACTATAATATGAGTATAGGTGTAGGTAATAATATATCCGTTGATGAGTACTCCAAGGTTAGATACCTGCCGATATAAATTACACGGCATCACATGTGCGTGGTGCCCATAACGGTTATAACACTTCGAAATTTTTCGTAAATGCACTCGGTACGTTAGGAAAATAGTATTTTTTTCAGACGGACAGACGGATGTCGACATGAGTACGGTCCTCCAGAACTAAGCGGCGCATAACATTTAACAGTTAAAATTCTATAAAGTGTTCTCACAAATTTTAAAGTTAACGGTCGTAGATTGTTCGTTATAAGGGCTTATTAGACACCTTTCGAAGTTTGTTACGATATTTTATAATCGCCACAAATCAACTTGTGCATCGATATTTTTACACAAGCAGCGCAAAAGTTTGTATCCGTATATTTCAACTTATACTGCCCTTCAATAAAGGGACATACAGTAAACACCAACTTGTTAAAAATGAGATTATTCCATATTATCAAAATTAAATAATAAATTCTGCGCCTATTCTTTTCAAGGTCAACTGTCAGCTGTAAAAACCACTACGAATACCTCATAAATAAATTTTAATACGTCGTAACAACCAAAAATTTCATCCAATATTATAGGGGAACAGTTAATTTTAAAGAAAATAAAATAATTTGTCCAACTACATAGTTTCTTATAGTCAATCGACTTCTAAATAATAAATTCATATACTGGATTTTAAAATTTTAGCATTATTTTTTTTTATTTTTTAGTGAAGGATCGTACGAAAGAAAATTCAGAATTCCCAAAAAATCGAAAAAAAAAATAAAAATAGATTATCGAATTCAAAGTAAAAAATAACACTCTAATAACACATTTAGGATAATTATTACTAATAATTATAATAATAATAATAATAATAATAAAAAAATAAAAATAAAACAAGATCTAATACTGCCTATGGGTATTGGGTATATGGGTACATGGGTATTGCCCTTATGGGGTGTACCACTGTAATAAGTGAAAAGTGGGGAAGGTAAAATAGGTACACAGTATTTAATTTGTATCAGAATGCAACGAAGAAGTTCAGTTAAACATGTTTTAAAATGCCATGATATTTACGATTTTCTTCGTAATATAAAAGTTTACAAAAAGTAATGATTTAATTAAGCTCAACTTTTTTTTACCACTAAGTACACCTTATGACAAACCTCGTGTAAAATTAGCACAAATCATAATAAAAAAAAAAATTCCTATGCTGCGTTCAGAGTTTAAAAAGTATTTTATTGAGTATTTATATTTAACCGGTTTTAAAAGAAAGTATTGGGATACGTATTTTTACAATTTACACAAGTTTTCAAAGCCGTATGCTAAATACGTTTGAAAAGTATGTTTAACAGGACTTATGTACGAGGCATTTGACCCAATGAGTAGGTGTATTATTATCATATTATCGCCCCGTGATAAAAATTACTATAACATACTATCGTTCGAAGACGGATTTTCGAGAAATTTTCTCATAGTCGTATAGTATTTATACGACTACGATGACGACGACGGTGCAAAGTTTGGGTGATATACCCGTTTGTTCTGCCTTCAAATATCATCTCGCTACCACTACGAATGGATAAAGGTACTGTGTAATATACACATTCATAAATCATTGTCTACTTCAGACACCCCCCACCACGGTCTCGTCGTCACTTCGTTTTGCCTTCACCGACGGACGCACGTCGATCTCATTATCCCGTTACCACTCGTACCACCGTTGTTGTCGTCGTCCAAATTCGACCTACCCCGGAAAAACACACGACACGTCACTACCACGGCCGGCGGTAGAAACGACAGCTGCTGTGAATTGTACTTTGGAAAATATCTTAACTTTTCCCACGTATGTACAACTCGAAATTCAAAAAAAAACATCCGTAGATATCTGAAGTATTTACCGAATAATATTATATTAATTCTTTCTAGATAACTAGGTACAATTTTCAAACTATTCTGATATTTGTTGAGCTATTTATAGCTATTTGAAATGTTTAAGACTTTTTAGTTTCCATTTCGTTCCGTTAGGATGTAGGTTACAGTTTGAGGCGGTTATAGGTAGGGTGTAATACGCTAAATATTTGTATCTACTATACAGAATAGAATATTTAATTTGTAAACCAAAGGAAATTATGAATGACATAGTATATTATTAAACTTCAGTTCTTAAAGTTATCAACTTTATATTAAATATAACTGCGAAAACGTGTTCAGCTGAAATAACGCTTTATTCTTCAATTTAGAGAAATTTTTGTGAAAAATGAATAGAGTTTTATGAGAACATGAACATACAATTATCTGTAAAAGTCATTTTGCTCGGTCTACAATTTTAAAAAAGAATTACAAATGTTAATCTTAAAGAAAAAGAAGAACTTGCACAGTGCAAAGTTGATTTTATTAAATTCAAAACCGTAAATAGAACTAGATCTATTGTTTTGAAATCTGAAATTTTCATTTTTTTCAAAATCGAATAATTATTTTATATTTTTATATTGAAAAATACGAATATACTTCGTACGATAGGTGGGCCACTGTTGTAGGTTAAAATTGGAGAAGGTAAGATATTATAAAGGATAATATAATTTCCTTTTATATAAAATGATAAATCATTATTAACGTGTTAACGAAAAACAATTCTGAGTGGAGTTTGAAGAGGCCATGATATTTACAATTTTTTTAAAAATTTAATTTTAAAATTCTTATAAAACTACAATAAACTCAACTTATTTGAATGGCCACTAATTTCAACTGTAATTAACCTACTGTTAAATTTTCAAGAATTTCTGTTTGGCCAAACAAAATATTTTGAAAATCAAAAAATAACCTCCTTAAAGTACCGCCCGGATAAAATTTCCTTTCAGAAAAGATACTACACCTGAAAATCAGGCAAGATTTCTGGTAGAAAAGTTGTTTACCGATTAAAAATAAAAGAAAGAAAATAAATATCACTGTTAAAACAGTACATTCCTAGCTTCACTATGAATCTAAAACCAATGTTCCACATTGTATAATGTACCCTATAGGGTCCTTTTTTGTGTGCAAATTTGGTTTCCTAATAAGTAATAATTGACAATTAAGTCCGTGATTATACTCGAAAATTTATTTTATAATGAATTTTTTGAATATTTTTGATTTGTTAAATTTTCATTTTCGAAACAATTTGATCCTAACCCCTTAATTACTAAATCGTCCTTCCAAGTTAGATGAGTGGATTAAATAATAATATTCTTAAATAGCAAGATGAGCAGTGATAATTAGAATAAAATGAGATCTGCAATGTTCATACAAAATATTCTAACTAATCTCGGTTTATAAAACATTTTATCCAAAAATATTCAAAGTATCACAATATTATAGAATCATTGTTTATTACTTATTAAAATTGGAATGATTGATCAGAAAGAACTAGACCGTTTCATATAGCTTGTTGTATTTTTCTGTTTAGCATATCAGCGTGGTTTTTACGCCACTTTATTACTTCGGATGTGTTGTACAAAAACTACAATCGGCGTTTTTTTCATTCACTTATCGACCGAACTAAATTTAACCGTGCAATTTGAAGTTTGTAATTTTCGACTCCAACAACTCTACTGCTGGACACAGACATTGTTTTGCATTGCAATTTGTTGCAATTTAGTTGTTATACACTTCAACGCAAAAAGTGATTTATTCGACTTAAAAATCTTTCTGCCGAGTACATTATACAATATACAATACAATACACAAAGTATGAAAATCCATTAATTCCATATTACGAGTATATAATCGTATAAACGACGCAACATAACACGGAACTACAGAAGAAAGTAAATTCGAATTAACTGCAATATGAAATATATTGTAATATACTTTCACTGTCGAATTTACACTATGAATTCCATGAACCTAATCTGTTTTCTTTGCCTAAACTTGAATTCTCACTGTTAAAATGATGATGAAGATGATGACGCACTTTTTTATACGAAAGTGTTGTACCGGGTCTTATTTATACTGTTTATTTTTTTGCTTAACGTAATAAAAATTAATACTCCACCAGATTTCAGTAATAATGAGATAAATAGTGCACTGTAAATAAGTATTAAATTACAATAACAAAAAAATAATTTTTAATGGATACCGTAAATTTTTAAATTACAACTAACAAATTATAATACAAATAATTGAGCTTTTATTTTTTTTTTTTTGAAATAAAGACGAATGTCAGTCAATTACAATCTGTGAAGTAAACATGCAAATTTGTAGAACTTTTGGGTCAAAATTATTAATAAACTTATGCAAATAAATAGACACAATTAACATCATCATGAACTATTATTTCCACGCCATGATTAAATTGAACCAGATTTATAATAATTGACTTGCGATTTAAAATTAACTGGTCGCCGTTGTGTGTATAAAGTAAAATTCTATTAGTTTCGTGACACTCCCTAGACGTATTATATAATATGACCATTTCTAAAATTAAAAGGACAAGGCTATGACCGTTGTACTTGGAAAACAATCAAATAATCGAAAAAAAATAGCAGATAAAATCTATAATACGAATTATCATAAATTCACACAATATAACATACCTATGTTAGGTATGTTAGGCATGTTGATATATATGAATACCTAACATATTAATACTCACTGTAAAAATTCGTTATATTTGTACGATTTCAAAAATACTTCTGATGCTGTCTATTAAATTAAAAATATTTGATAACATCATTTTATTGTTACCTAAATCTTGGAAAACCGGTGAAAAAAACAAAGAAAGTAGGTAGGTACTATACTGTTTTGATTTTGAATTTAAACATATTACGCATATTATAAGCTCTTACATCTACAAAAGAGTAATAGGGCGTGAGACTTTAAGGGACCTCATCAATTACATTATTTTGTTTTCTCTGTCTGTCTCACACGCGTAATATAGCAACGAAGACATTCCACATTTCTACTATCGCGACTCTTTAGTCGAGTATAGGGCACAGGGATCTAAAAAGAGATATTCAACCAGCGATGTTTCGAAAAAATGCGGAATATCTTTCCGCTATATTACGTCAGAGACTGACTAAGAAAACCATTGTCAGTGACGAAGCCCCTTAAACAATACATTTTTATTTGTGGGGGAAAATGTCTATGTAATAATATAATTCACGTTTACGATTTTATACGTATAATTACTACTACGTATTACTAGTACTCCACCTCAATTAGCTAATTATGTATAAATATTGTATTATAAATATATTCAATTCTGCGATTTAACAATTTATAATGAAAAAACCATTTTTTCCCCGTTTATATATGTATATTTTACGCAGAGTACTCGACTCTTTAATAGCAAGATAAGCGGTTAATTTATTCGAATCATTTGATTCGGAACACGTCAACCGACGTTTTCTGGTGGATAATAGTTAATAATATTAAAAAATATAATAAAATAAATAAAACACTTTTCTTACTTCTACTACCATGGTTTTTATTAATTATTTGTATAGATCAGAGGTTTCCAAAATGGTCTGTATACAGGGACGGATCTATAAATATGTAATGTAATGGGAGTGGGGCTAATTTGTATTTACAGAAAGGCAAATTATATAATTTTAGTAAATACATTTATATATTAGTTATAATATATATATTTTAAAATTATGAAATATGAAAAATTAATAAGTTCATTAGTCTTTTGATCAATCTTCTATTTGTATTCGCCTTTGATTTTGTCGAGAATATCTATTTATGACTTCATCAATGTCAATGGATATTTCTTTAAGAATATTAAGTACTTCTAACCCATTTAGCCTGTCTCCCGTCATAAAAGATTTCATATAATTTGTATTTGTCGTAGGGAAGAAAATGATCGTTCAGCTGTTGCTTATGTTATGGTGATTGTTGCAAAAATTTGTAGTAAAATTTTAATGTTTGGATGAAATACATCACAATGTACCCAGTGGCGTAACTAAAACTTCTAATACCCGTTTCAAAACATTGTATATTAACTAAATTATGGGCCAAGTGCAGGGCCGACGCTATGTGGAGGAATGTACGAACATGTATTATCGGAAATTATACAAAAGTAAAAAATATGGTATTACCAAAATATTTATAGATTCCGATTCCTATAAAGGCTTCGTGTAAATGCTGAAAAACCAGAAAAAAAAACGCTCAATCCCCATCAATAATTGCTAGCCCTATCTATGTGCCATTATTTGAGTTGGGTCCCAATTTACACAGTTTGGAGTCTGTTTTTATACGTATGTCCGTCCACGCATGTTACTTGATAAGCAAAACAATGGTTATCATCGTCTATTTTTTTTTTTTTGTTCGCCTGTCCATTCACTGAAAAATAATGCCTTTGGGTCCCTAAATGTCTTGGGGCCTAGGTTCATTGCCCACTATGCCACCTTCTCAGTACGCCACTAAATGTACTAATGTTTCAATAGCAGTTTTGGGCTTTGGATTTTCTACATTTTCGTCACTATTATAGTATTTGTGCAGTAGTGGTTTGAAATGAACGTGTTTTTTTCTCGTGCCGAAAACCATGTGTGACGAAAAACATGAGCAACGGATAAACGTAAAATTTTC